AGATGTTGTCATTCATGATGATGTTTTCTTTTTCAGTATGTTGTTGTTCTGTGTTTAGTGTCTGTTTCCGTAGATGTTGTTTGTGGAAGAGACTATGGTTTCTTGTCCTATGTTATGGTGTAAGGGAATGGGTAATGAAATGGTTAATGAAATGGCATAAAACTTGTCAAATTGAACAAAACAATGTAGACATTTCATAACATCAAGTTCCTACACAATCAAAAGAAGGTCTTGAAACCTTGAATACAAAACATCAACTTCAAAGTTCATACTTGAAACAAAAGATTCATACTTGAAAAGATACATAACATCAAAAGAAAAGATTCACCACAGGTCCTAAGCTTGCTAAAATCAAGTTCATACTTGAAACAACTTCTAAAATAACCGGTCCTAAGCTTGTGATTGACTGGCTTCATAGTCATGAGTCATAGTGACTGGCTTCACCATACGGTCCAGCCTGAGAAGATCCAACAGTGGTTTGGGGTGTCTACAAAATAACCGAAGAATGAGTAAGCAATTTAGTCAAGAGAATCAATGTGAATAAGAGCATTTACAAGTCTTTACCTTGTCATTCTTATGAAACCTTGCGTTGTGGCCAGCTTGCTTACGTACTCCACAGTGCATGGTTCGCTTCTTCTCTACAGTGCATGGCGGCACACCGGGATTCACCACAGCCAATGCATCATCGGTCGGAATATCCGACATTCTCGATTTCGATATCAGAGTTGCTGATTTTCGATTTAGGGAAAATTATAGGGTTTGGGGTTAGGGATTTCAATTTCTGATTTGGGGAAGAAAAAGGGATTTTCGATTTGGTTTTGGTTTAGTGTGCAATCGGGTCATAAATCGGGCCATAAGCCTGTTAAAACGCATTCTAATGGTTAACTAATGATTTTGAAACAGTAAACCACACAGTAAATCGTCGTGTGGATAATTAAACATGAACTTCAATCGGGTGGGGAAATAGACGTGCAACTTTGAAATGGTGGGGATATACAAACATGAAAGTTTCAATTGAGAGAAATCTATGCGGAGGTCAAAGTTTCGTGGACATATATATGTCATAGTTATCGTGAGAAAATATAGTTATCGTGAGAAAATAGACAGTTTTTCTTTTTATTTATTATAAGTTGCTTCTTTTTGTCTATCTCTACCAAATATCTCTGCTAAATATTGATGTTCCTTTTCCATATATCTTTTTTAACCGAAGAGAATCTAGAATAATTCCAAGTATGTACCTATATTAGTAACCATCTTCAAAAGAAAACGTTTGAATAGTGAACTGCTGCATTCTATTCCAAATGTGATTACGTTTTTTGTTGGTCAATAACTTCTGTGGTAGTGTTTCCAACATTCTGCACTCAGCGACACAAATCATAGAGATATAATGAGTATAATATATATTTTGTGCTTAAATATATATGAGTACCATTTGTATTATATACTGAGAAATATCTACTTGTCAATCGAGGTTAAATCTGTTAAAAAAAATCCAGATCTTAAACTTGGTCACAAATAAACACTCATATTAGATTCAAGTAGCTTATTAAGATGGGTACACTCTGAGTACGTGTATTGGTCTATGTTCCAGGTCAAGAATGAAAATGAGGTTGTTTGTTGAAGGCATTGATAAGCAAAAATTGGATGCATGTAAAATCAACAAATTAAACTATGAGTTTACATTTTAATAGTTTACATCATTGTTTTTATTTCTCAAATCCAATCAATTTACCGTTTTAAACTTAGATAAAAAAAATATAGGCGATTGTATAACATAAGTTTTATATTTAAATGCACCAAAATTTTAAAAAATTACGGCTAATAGATATAGTAAAGAAAAATCAAGGAGTTTATCACTTTAATAATTTAAGATATGAAAACTATTGTTAGAAGGAAAAGTCGCGTGTATACGCGATCAGGGGTAGATGTAGAGAAGAAGTAGATGGGGCAGTTGTCCACCGTGAACTTTTAAATAATTCTTTTTTTTTCATGTGTTGAATTAAATTTTGCAGCTAAATTGATAAAAATGCTCTTTTAAATAATTCTTTTTTTTTTCATGTGTTGAATTAAATTTTACAGCTAAATTGATAAAAATGCTCTCTTTGCCCTCTATGAACCCATGCTCAAAACACATGTTGCACCTCTTATTCTTTATTTTTGTTTTATGTGTATGTATTTTGTTTCTAAATCTGAACTTATCCTCACGAATTTGTTTTCATTTAGTTGCTTATTTATTTTAAAAATTACATTTACTTGTTGGGTTTTTTTATGACCCATTTTTAAAAAAATTAGTCGTATTATGCCCCGGTAAAAAACAATTCTTGATCCGCCATTGTACGCAGTATTCATCTAGTATCATTTAAAGATTTGCATATAAGAAATTTGTTCACGCATAAGCGCAAGTATAACGCATAACATTTGAGATTTCGAATCTTTTAGAAGGAAAAAATATTTCTTTTATTTCTCTGTCTAGAAAACGAAAAGTCGGAAAGATCAACCCACAATTTTCCACACTCATCTCCCCTGCCTCTTTCTCCTGAGCAGCTCACTGAGATATATTCTTTGTTTTTATGATTTTATCCTTCTTTTTCTGTTACCGGATTCAGTTAGCAACCACTGATCAGGACAAATCGGTAAGTTTGGTTCTGTCCTTATTTACGATCTGTTTGGAGAATAAGCGTCAAGTGACAGACAGTGAACAGCAAAATGAAATCTTTTGCTTTTCTATGCGAGGGATTTTTGTGATTCAGGTTATGGAAAATATAAAGCTTATTTTGGAATATGTGATATTAGGTTAGTCAACTAGCAGCTGAAGAAAGATTTTGTGATCATCCTAAATATGTAAATTAGCCCTAAATTAGTGTGACCATCTTAAATATGTAAATAGCCTTAAATCAGGCTTGTGTGTAATCTATACAAATACTTCTCTTCGTAATTTGTATATGTTTAACGCAGGTTATAACATCTCGATGAAGAAGAATCTGCATCCAAGAACCGAAGAGTCCATTTTGGCAAATGAAGACAACGCGGGTAACTTCAGTTGGGTTCTATCTTGTTGTAGTGTCCAAGAACATTTTGGAATAAAAGTATTATAGGTTTTTAACATGT